CGCTGAGTCAGCGCGCGCTCTGAAAGCTTTCTTTTCAGTTCTGTGTTTCCCGCAAGTTTCTAAGTCTGTTGCGCTGCTCGAATCCAAGTTCGGGCAGGGCCTCTTGCCCGCGCGTGGGCCGCGGGCGCAGCGGCCCCGCCGCAGCTTTCTGTGGCCTAGCTAGCGGCCGCGCTTCCGTCCAGCGCCCCGACGGGCGTGGCAGAGCACAACGTCACCGTGGCGCGAAATTGATGGGCGCGTTCGTGATCTTCTGGGACAACGACGCGGGCTCGAAGATCACTTGCTGGCCAACCCCGGACGTGGCTCTATTGGCGCGAGGCAGGAGGACAGCCTCCTGGAGTCGCAGACGCAGCTGGGCAGCCTGCAGTACCCGCACAACTCCATGAAGGGAGCCTCGGAGCACTTCCACTTTCCTCTCGGTCCTTGCGGGTGGTCCCGGGCTTGGTTCCTCCCGCGCGCGCTTGTTTTTTTCAGCCGCATCAAAAAAACTCAGCTAAACGCGAACGCGAAATCATCGCCAAGCCGTTGAGGCTGCTTCATGAAGCGCTTCTCAGCAGCCCTTGCGCGCAGAAACTCGCAACTACTCTCTGCCCTTGCAACACATTGCCTGCCGTTTGTCAATTCGTCTTGTTCGCTGCTCGCCGATGTTTGCAATCTGTCACCTACTTCGTCGGTCGCGCTGCGCGCGCGCCCTCTCACCGCTTTGCTTTCGCTGCGTTCGATTTGTTGACTTGCGCTGGTGTGGAAGCTAGCCCTTGGTAGCGGGCCTGGGTGGGTGGGATTGAGATCGAAACTTTTGATTGACGGCGCTATGAAGATTTCCATGTCTCAAATCCTGTGAACCCTAAACCCTAAACCCCAAACCCTAAACTTGTTTATCTATATTAATTTAAACCCTAAAGGGAAAATGCGTTTAGTGGCGAGCGCTTTTTCAGCCCTCCAAAACGTTGGCCCTGTCAGCACATAAACCCTAAACTTTTTTCCCGATCCTCGTTTGCTGGCAGGGCCGTCATTTTGGAGCCTCCACTTGCCGAGCGGTTTTTCGTGGCCCTGTCGTGGTTTTGGGCCGCCGACCTTCAAAAACTCGTGGTTTTTACGTTTTTCAAATCGCCCGTGCGACCCTCTGCGGACTTTGGGCTGGTCGACCTTCGAAAACTTGTGGTTTTTTTGCGATTTTCAAATCGTCCGCGCGACCCTCTGCGGACTTTCGGCTGGTCGACCCTCGAAAACTCGTGGTTTTTTGCGATTTTCAAATCGCTCGCGCGACCCTCTGCGGACTTTGGGCTGGTCGACCTTTGAAAACTCGTGGTTTTTTTGCGATTTTCGCAACGCCCGCGCGACCCTCTGCGGAGTTTGGGCTGGTCGACCTTCGAAAACTCGTGGCTTTTTGCGATTTTCAAAACGCCCGCGCGACCCTCTGCGGAGTTTGGGCTGGACGACCTTCGAAAACTCGTGGTTTTTCGCGATTTTCAAATCGCCCGCGCGACCCTCTGCGGACTTTGGGCTGGTCGACCTTCGAAAACTCGTGGTTTTTTGCGATTTTCGCAACGCCCGACCTTCGAAAACTTGTGGTTTTTTTGCGATTTTCAAAACGCCCGCGCGACCCTCTGCGGAGTTTGGGCTGGCCGACCTTCGGAAACTCGTGGTTTTTTGGGATTTTCACAACGCCCGCGGGACCCTCTGCGAACTTTGGGCTGGTCGACCTTCGAAAACTCGTAGTGTGTTCCGATTTTCAAATCGCCCGCGCGGCCCTCTGCGGAGTTTGGGCTGGTCGACCTTCGAAAACTCGTGGTTTTTTATTTTGAATTCGCCCGCGCGACCCTCGGCGGACTTTGGGCTGGTCGACCTTCGAAAACTCGTGGTTTTTTCGATGTTGAAATCGCCCCTTGAAAACCTGTTCTTTTTGGCGACCGTGCTGGTCGCCATTGAAATCTTGTGGCTTGTCGCAAGTCAATGATTCCCTGCGGATTTCGGGCTGCCCGCGCTTCAAAACCGGCGGAGTCCGCTTTTTGCAGATCACTGGCGCCACTGTTTCGTTTACGAACTACTTGTCACTCGCGCAACCTTCTCTCGGCTTTGGGCCCTCGACGGCTTAAAGCTTGGGGCTGGACAGCGGCGACGAGTGAGCCCCAGCGGCCAAAGCGGTTTCCTAGCTGAATCTGGCACAGTGTGAGCATGCGCTCTGTCTCTTTCTCTTGAAAACTTGTTGGCAAGGCTGCGCGCCCTTGGCTTCCCTGGGGAGAAGATCGCCCGGGTACTCAGCCCCTCCGCCACGACAAGGCGGGCGCGCAGTGGAGGGGAAAACTGCGGGTTTTGGTGGGCCCGCGCCGCCTGAGGATGAAGTCGGCGTGACAACTCTTTGAACACAGCGCACGCCTGGCCTGAGCAAGGCTCCTGGAAGAAGAAGCTCGCGCCAGGCCTCCGCAACAAGCTCACACGCAGCTGCGAGCAAAGCGTGGCGCGCAAGCCTGGCTCTTACAATCAGAGCGCTGAAGAGACCTGCAGGCTTGAGAGTTACGCTTCAGTGCGGAAATCAAGTCAGCGGGCAAGAACTGACTTGAGGCCAAGTGTGATCAAATCTTGACGTTGACAAACCTTGGCGCGCAGCTATGAGCGGAGCCCAGAAAACTGAGAACTTGTTTGACGCGCTTGGCGCAGCCTAATCCAAACATCTTGGGAGCAAACTTGGCTGCGGCTTCAGGGGCGGAAAATCGGGTTCAGAAAGACTTCCTTCACCGCAACTGCTGGAGCTCAGCTCGCTTGGCCCAGCGGTGGCAAGCGTGCCATGTTGCGAAAAAGGCTAATCCAAATCTCTTGGGGGCAAGCTGTGGCTTTGAGCGCGCTTGAAAACGTGCCAGACACAGTTCGTGACAGGCCAAAGCTGCTTGAGCCCAGGGCGCAAGCATGTCCAGGCACATTGCAAGTCAAGCAAAACACCCGCACGCAAGCAGGCGGCAGACGCTCTGTTTCTTCCACGTTGGTCACGCAGAGCTCGCTTGGTCTTCGGCAGCCGAGCTATTGTTGGAATCGCCTTGATCCTCGCTTGGGCTGTCTGGAGGTGTCTCGCTCTCCGCCCCTAAGTCTTCCTCATTGGAACTCCCAGTCTCTCCCTGATCTTCGCTGCCTGCTGCGCTTGAGGAGGCCGAGGGCGTGTCCTCACTCTCGGCCCCACACCGCAGTCTTTCCCCCTCCATCTCCACCCCAACAGGCAGCCAGTCAGTCTGTCGCACTTTTCCAACCAAGTACAAGTCCTCCGCTTGCCTGACACGGGATGCGCCCACATACCCGTAGCCCCTCTCAGGCGGGTACTTGTGGTCAAACCACAGGCCCACCCCCTCCAAGGTGGATCCCTGAGCCCTGCGCATTGTCATGGCGTAGCCATAGGTGAAGGGCATGAAGTAGTGGCCATCTTGCCGAACGGGGTGAACCAACAAGCGCACACCTTTTGGGGTCTTTGCCACAAAGACGTTCTTGGCCAAGACGTGCTCGACCTCAGCCAAAGCACCGTTGACAAACCCGCGGTCCTTGTCAATGTTCCTGGTCAAGCAGATCCGGAGGCCTGGCAGCACCAGCACGCGCCCGCCGTAGTCGGGGTCGCCAGGCATGGCGTGGTACTCTGGGGACTGAACTTCTGGGCGAGCTCCAAACTGTAGTAGGCAGCGCGTGTGGTTGAGCTTTAGAGCTGCCTTGTTGGTGACTGTGAGAAAGGTAAACGTCTTCTCCGTGCGCTCCTCGAAGGCCATGGACGCCTTGACCACCTCAACAGCGGACTCTGGCCGCAGTTTGGAGTTGTTGGGAGCCAGTCTGCGCGCCCCGAAAAAACTTTGTAGCGAGTCTCGGCTTGGCTGCTGCGCTCTGACAACACGCAAGAAATCCAGGAGCTGGGGGTCGGTGCTCCTGGCAAACTCGTGCTGCTGCAGCTGGATGTGCCGCAGTGTTCCGGCCTCAGACATCGCCGTCAGCGTGCTCTGCATGGAGACGTCGCCAGTGGTTGGCTGCAGCTGTTGGAAATCCCCCACAAAGCACACAAACGGATGTGGATTTAGCTCAACCAGGGAAGTGCGGACTTGTTCCCAAACAGCGCCTTCTATTTGACTGATTTCATCGTAAATGATCAAGTCAAAGTGGCGGAGGCGGCCGGGAGGCACCTCATCAGCCTTGCGGGTGATTCGAGACGCGTGGACTGTCTCTATCACAATGTGGTCGTTGGGAGGCAGCTTCTGGCGGCAGGTGTCCACGAGGGCACCGATGGGGCACGCGATGAGCACCCTCTCGCCCTTGCCTGCAGCCTCCAGTGCGCAGCCAATCACCGCTTCGGTTTTGCCGGAGCCCGGCTCTCCTGCGCAAACAAAAACTTGTTTTTTTCTGTGCGCTCTAAAACTCTGTGACTCTGTGTCAAGTTGTTTTGAAGGAAGCTTTACCCCGGCCTGTGACCAGGAGCATCCGGCTGTGCGCTCTCAGGTTGGCATCGTCAACAGCAACTCCGCCTCAAGCATCTCGGTTTGCTTGGGGGACCAGGCGCGGGCTGGGAAGCCCTCCGCTCGTCGAGCATCCCAGGCGCTGGCAGGGATCTGCAGTCCGCGGGCACCGGTATTGTCGAGGAGCAAAGCTAAAGCTTGCAGGCGGCGTTTGACTGTAACTCTCTGGTTCAGGCCCTTGCCCCGAAGCTTCAAGTCAGCATCAATTTCCTCGGCAAGCTTGCAAACGTCGCCCTTGTAGCGGGGGTGGTTCAGGGCGGCTTGCAGGTACTTGGCGCCCTGGCGCTTGAGCATTTGGCGCAAACTCTGCTTCTGATGTATGAGGGACTGTTGTCGCGCACCAAGCGCCAACAAATATGTCCAGCATCTCGTAAGGAAACCGGACGCCAAGGCTGCACAGCTGCTTGTTGCTGCCTCTCCCGCGCCCGCCGCGAGCCTTGGCTGCGAACTGGGCGCTGCCGTCAGCCGCCCTTGTCTTGACGACAGTGAACTTGCGAGCCCAGGACAAGAAGGACTCCGCTGCGCCTTTTGTGGAAGATCTCAGAAGGTTGGGGAGGCTCTGCTGGTGCTTCAAGTAGGCTTCGTAGAGGGCTCGGCTGTTGTTTGGCGCGGGCTGATCAACTGCACCTGCCGTGTCTGCCGTTCGTGGCGCCGGAGCATAGATTGTGTCGCTGCGGAAGGAACACTCCAGCAGAGGAAGACACGCAAACTCCAACGTCATCTCTGGGAGCAGCGGCGCTTTCTTGTAGAGGAGGCGGTAAGTCTGCCGCCAGTTGGTGTCGTCCACTTGCCGGTAGTCCTTGAGCTTGAAAGTTAAGGAGTCTGAAGCTTTGGTGACGTAGCCGGCCACATACAAAAGAAGGGCTGTGTGGCCGTCGCCGCATTGGACATCCACAGATGCGTTGAAAGTTGACTCCAAGTGCTGGAGCAGGGCTGACTGGGACCCTGGTTGCTTGCTTCTGCCAGTGAGCGAGCGCAAGTCCACACCATCTCGAAACTTGGCCCAAGCCAGAATGTGCGCGTGCAGCGTCCCCCGTCCTTGGAATTCCCATCGAATCTCGTACTCGTATACTTCCTCAACGCCCAAAGCATAACGCTCTTGGAAGGCGGCGTTTTTGAAGCCGCTGCCGGATTCCTGGAAAGGCCCTCCCTTCTGCAAGAGGTTGGTGGACAACAGCTCCTCGATGACGTGGCGCATGTGCAAAGTCATGGTCGCTTGCCCGCCGCTCAGGGAGTTGGACACTTTTCGCCAGCCAAGGACTCCTTCATGGTGAGGAAATTTCCACTCCGCGGGAGAAATTGTCAAGTACAAGTTGGGGAGCCCCTGTTGCCGGCAGACGTCGCGCAACTTGTCCTGCTCGCGCTGCCAACTAGCTTTTAAGCTGGGCTTTTGCTGCTCTCCTATCTGGCCCAGCTGCCGAAGGCGCATCTTCAAGTCGGTGTCCGCGTGGGCGGCGGTTGGGTAGAGCCAAGGGCGCGCAGCCACCTCCACCCCAGGGGTCCGCAGCAAAAGCTCCGCCGTGCGGAGCACGTGCCAGTTGTCTGCTCGTGCCTCCGTGGGGGTTGCTAGGAGAAAGCGCCGCCGCCGCAGAAAAGCTGCGTAAGTGGGGTTATGGGTCCGCAGCCAGTTGAAAGCAAGCCGGGCGTTCTGCGTCAGCTGGGCCTCGATGTCGGACTTCTTCCAGTGAACGGTGCAAACTCCAGTCTTCTTCCAGTTCTGGGTGGGCGCGCCGCCTCCTCGCTGTTGCGAGTGCTGAACTTTCAGAGTGACAATGGAGAGGCTGCGGCACTCTGCTTCAGTTAGCTGCAGAATTTCTTCTGGCCAGTGGCATGTGTCAGGGGTGACATACGGTCGCTTGGGCGGCCTCTGCGTTTGCCCTTCTCCTCTCTCATTTGCTGCCAAGTCCTCGCTTAAATTCTCCGGGGCGAAGTCGCAGCCTGCTGGACATTTTCTGCAGACCGCCTTTGGCTGCAAGGGCTTGTCTAGCACAAATTTCCCGTCCGGGCGTCGCCGCCCGCAATCTGGGCAAAACGACCAAGCTCCCCACGCCGCCCACCGCTTGGCAGGCGGCTCGTGCTGGAAAATGACACTGCTTGCTGGCCGCTTCTTGGGGGGGCTGGGCTGCTGCGGCTGCTGCGGGCTGCTGCTCCACGGCCACGGCAGCTGCTGTCGTGGCACACGCGCTGCGCGCCGATGCTCTGAGCGCCACAAGTTTTCTGCTGCTTTGGAAACATCGGCAGAGCGCTGGGCCTTCGTGACAAAGCTGCGGCTGCAGCGAAGACGCTGCGACTTTGCCACATGGCCTTCCTCTGCCTTGTGGCTTGCTTGGGGGGCGATAGCTGCAGCTTGTTGCGGGCTGAGGCGTCACTGCAAGCCAAGAGCGCTCCGCATTCTGTCGAACGCGCTGCGCGAGATGTGTAAATCGCGTATCACGCTGGCCCGGCTGCGGCCAGCCAAGTACATCTCCCGGAACTGGTGGAGAAGTCTTGGGATCGTTCTGCTTGCCACGCAGCCACCTTCGCGGTGTGGGGGCCTGCTTCTGCGTCAGCCTCTGTCTGGGAGAGCTTGTTGGGCAGGCTTTCTCTGGTCGAGCCGGCGTGCTCGGGGCTGGCTGCGGCAACCACGTCCTGGCCAGCTCAAAATGCCCGGCACCGTGGCCACTCCCGTCTACGCTCAAAACGTGCAGCACTTCAACGCCAACAGGCCCGCGCCCGTGAAGGCCGGGCACGCCTCCGCGTGTGTTGGAGTGACCAAAATGCTGCACCCGAACTCTTCTGCGTAATGCTGCAACTCTTCGTCTCCAGGATGCCCACCGCCTTCAAGAAAAACGGCTTGCTCCTCAAAGCCCTTCACCCGCACGCGCTGCGCAATACGGCGCAGCAAGCTTTGCGCCGCTCCTACTGCTGCTCGCTCCTCTTCTCCGTCCTGCAAAAATCCGAGCGGGCTCCGGGCTTTTCTCTGCCAAGTTCCCGCGTCCAAGGCCGCAAGGTAGCAGTGAACCATGCAAAGTCCATCAGGGGGAACCGTGCGAATTTCTTCCTCCCAGCAGGATGGGCCGGTTGTGTCAAGTTCTGAGCGCCTCCGCGGTGGGAGCCGCATGTGGCCAAGCAAGGCGCCTGGAGCAAAATCGTACTTCTCGGGCTCCCACAACAACTCAGGGCTTGCTGCCTCTGGGATGTTGGCGAAAATCACCGCCCCGCGCGGCGGAGTCCAGGGAACCGGCTTTGTGTACTTCACCACATCAGACAAAACCCAAGCCCAGACTTGGTCGTAGTCCTTAAGGACTTGCCGGTCTTCCACACAGTGATGCTGCATGTTGCCAGCTCGGAACAAGAAGACGTCTTTCGCTCTTTGGTTCGAGCCAGCAGGCACCCAATTCCCGCGCGCGTCGCGCTGGCCGACCTGGAAGCAGTCCCACAACGGTGACTTCTCCGACGAGGGCGTTCTTCTTTGACTCCGCAACGCAAACGCGGCCTCGCTTGCTTGTGCTTCGGCTTCGAAGCTCCCAGCGCTTCGCGCCATCGAAAATGCGCTGGCACCACTGGGGCTTGATGAACAAAGCTTGGGCCGGCAAACATTTCGGAGCTGCTGCCTTGGCTGCAACTGGGCCTCCTGCGCTGGCTGTCTGGGCAGCTTGCAGAGGTGCTTGGGGGGCGGCCTGCGCTGCTGCAACCTTCACGCGTTTTGCGCTGGAGCTGGGCGTTGGTTGTGTGAAGGGCTCTGGGCTGGGCGGCAAGCGGGCCAAGCGCTCTGGGGCCGCCTTTGGAGGCCGTGTCAGGAAAAGCGACTGACTAAGGCGACTTTTTGAGAACTGGCTGCCCACACGCTCTCGAATTTGCGGAGAGCTCAAACCGTCGTGCCGCAAGGCTGCGATCATCTCCTGAGCTGGCTTGTTGCCGCGCCCGCCCTTCAGCGCCGCCTGGTGTCTGTTGTCTTGCGACATGGCACGCGGCTTGGATGTGAAATTGCAAGCAAAATGTGCGCAATTGTCAAAAACTTTGGACTGTGGCAAGCATTGAAAGTACTGGACACCGGCCTTCTCGCTTGCTGGGAGCAAAATTGCCGGAAGCAAGACTTGCAGTTTCAATCTCTCTCGGACGCCTCGCCCTGTTGCCTTGCCACTTTTCTCAAAACTCAGCGGAGGCTTGCCAGCTCGTGTCGCGGCCACAGAAGCTGTTGCTTTGCTGCGCTTGTGTTGGAGACAGGCTGTCAAGGACTGTGTTGCTCTCAAAACGCAAACTCGGCAACTCCAAGGGTCGGACGCGTAGCGCTTGTGTTGGAGACAGGCTGTCAAGGACTGTGTTGCTCTCAAAACGCAAACTCGGCAACTCCAAGGGTCGGACGCGTAGTCCTAGCAGTTGATTCGCGCTATCACTCCGCCTGAAGCCAATCCTGGCAAGTCAGGGCGTCGCCAAGACAAGGGAGAAGCGGCTCTGAGGCCCAAACATTTCGTGACCTGCTGCCTGCAAGCCTGCCGGCCGATCAAGCGCTACGGGCATCAAAAAAGCAAATCGAGTTGCGCCAAGCTTGCGGAAGTGTCTGCAATATTTTTGCGCAAGCTCAAAACTTCAACAGTCCTGGGCTGGCGGCCGGTGTATAAAGTTGGCTAATTCCTGGCCCGCCCCCCTATTTTTGCGATTGTGAGAAGCTTGAGCAGCTCCTGGGATGGCAGCCGGTACAAGTGGCTAACTCCTGGCCTGCCTCCATCACACATGCCTGTGCCGCACTCAGTCGTCAAACAGATCTCCAGTGAAGGTTTCCTTCTGAAGAGCTGCTTTGGCAGGGTGACTGCCGGCCGCCCGAGCTAACACCGCCTACGTCACGCTCTCCTTGGTCACAGCTGGAGCAGCGTGGTTGAGCCAGGCTCGCGCCGTCTTGTCGGCGGCGTGGGCGGCGTAGAAGACGCCGCCCGCCGACACTGTGGCGACGAATGCCCGCAAGTTCGAAGTCTCGCCCTTGCAGAGGAAGATGCGCAGAGCCTCCGCGGCCTCCTTGAGCTTCGCCTCAGTCGGCTTCTCGCCAGATTCTGCGCGCCGGCGCTTCAAGCCGCCAAAGGTCTCCTCCTTCTGGAAGGCAGCCCGGCCAGCGTTGAGCGCCTTCACATGCGGCAGCAGCTCCTCTGCCTCTGCTTTCACCTTTGCCACAACCTTCTCCTTCAGCAACTTGTGCAAATTGTCCCTTGCCAGAAATTCCTCAATGCAGGCCTCGAGCACTTCAGCCAACCGGCTGAGGCCCACCCCAACCCGGTACTCAGCATCTTTGCAGTTGTCCGGAGTTGCTGCAAGCTCCGTGAAGAACCTCGCAAACTTGTCCCCCTTGCCAGCCATAGCCCAAAGTTCCGGCAAGGAAATCTCCTCAATCGAGGAGGCTCCATAGGGGTTCAGCGCCTTGCTTGCCACAGTGTCTATGTTTTTGCGCTTCTCCTTGGTCGCCGCGTCGGCGGCCCTTAACGCCGGCTCCGAAGATATCAGCAGGGGCGGGCGCGGCCATTGCCAGTCAAGCGGAAGGAACTAGGCGCAAGTGTGACACTTGAGAAAGCTGGCGTTCGGACACCTTGCGTCTTCTCTGCAGCCAACGCAAGGGAGCGCGCTGTCTGGCCGTGCAAGAAAGCAACTCGCCTGCTGTTTTACAGCTCCTTGTCCTTGTCGCCCTATCAAGAACATGTCAACAATGCGAAAGCGAAATTTGCAGGCGCAGGCCTGACACGTTAGAGCGACTCTGTGGGGATGAACTAGACCCGAAAGCGAATTCGTTGTTTTTCTTTGCTGTGTAGCACTTCTTGCTTTCTCACGGCGCCTGCGCCCGTTCTTGCGGCTGCGCGCATGTTTTTCATTGTTCTTCCCTTCGTCACGATTTTTCTTACTTTCCAGGTTCCGTCCGCTCTGGGGCTCCAGCCGATTGCGCTTCTTGGCAAGGCTGAAGCGGGATGGGGGCCTGAAAGATCCAAGAAGAACGCGCAGCAAGCAGGAATTGAGGGCCCTGCTGTCCTGGATTTTTGTTCCCCCCACACCCTTGAACCGGCCAGGCCCGGTCAAGGTTGCTGTGTGAGGGGCTTCGCAAATCCCAAGCACAGTTCTGCGGCCAAAAGTTGCGCCGCTTGCAGCTCCATTATTTTGCGACGAGACGGCAGCGCGCCCAGGTCCGCATGATTTTGCCTTTGATCACGACGGCCGGGCTCGGCCAGCGAGTTTGGAGACGTCTTTGCGGCTGGCTAGCAATTTTGCTGGCCGGCCAGCAGGCAGTGATTGGACACGTTTTTGCTTGCTGGCGCCTGGCCGGCCAGCAGATTTGGACACGTTTTTGCTTGGTGGCGCCCCGACCGGCGCCACCTCCAAATCTGCTGGCCGGCCGGGCGCCAGCAAGCAAAAACGTGTCCATCTGCCTGCTGGCCGGCCGGGGCACCAGCAAGCCAAAACGTGTCAATCACTACTTGCTGGCCGGAGCAAGCAAAGACGCGTCCAAATCACTCCCTGCTGGCCCCGACCGGCCAGCAGGCAGTGATGTCTTTGCCGTCTTTGCTTGCTGGCGCCTTGGCCGGCCACCAGGCAGGGACACTGCTGGCGCCCCGGCCGGCCAGCAGGCAGAGATTTGGACACGTCTTTGCTTCCTGGCGCCCCGGCCGGCCAGCACAGTGATTTGGACACGTTTTTGTTTGCTGGCGCCCCGGCCGGCCAGCAGGCGTGATTCGGACACGTTTTTGCTTCCTGGCGCCCCGGCCGGCAGCAGATTTGGACACGTTGTTGCTTGCTGGCGCCCCGGCCGGCCAGCAGGCAATGATTTGGGCATGTCTTTGCTTGCTGCCGGCCAGCAGCAGTGATTTGGACACGTCTTTGCTTGCCGGCGCCGGCCAGCCAGCAGATTTGGGCACGTTTTTGCTTGGTGGCGCCCCGGCCGGCCAGCAGGCAGTGATTTGGACACGTCTTTGCTTGTCCTCGGCCGGCCAGCTGGCAGTGATTTGGACACGTCTTTGCCTGCTGGCGCCCCGGCCGGCCAGCAGATTTGGACCCCGGCCGGCCAGCAGGCAGTGATTTGGACAGGTCTTTGCTTGCTGGCGGCCCGGCCAACGTCTTTGCTTGCTGGCGCCGCGGCCGGCCAGCAGGCAATGATTTGGACACGTCTTTGCTTGTTGGCGCCTCGGCCGGCCAGCAGGCAGTGATTTGGACACGTCTTTGCTTGCTGGCGCCCCGGCCAGCCAGCAGATTTGGACACGTTTTTGCTTGGTGGCGCCCCGGCCGGCTAGCAGGCATGATTTGGACAAGTTTTTGCTTGCTGGCGCCCTGGCCGGCCAGCAGGCAGTGATTTGGACACGTCTTTGCTTGCTGGCCCCAGCCGGCCAGCAGGTGGTGATTTGGACACGTCTTTGCTTGCTGGCGCGCCGGCCAGCAGATTTGGACACGTCTTTGCTTCCTGGCCCCCCTGATTTGGACACGTCTTTGCTTGCTGGCGCCCCGGCCGCTGTGATTTGGACACGTCTTTGCCTGCCGACGCCCCGGCCGGCCGGCCAGCAAGTAGTGATTGGGACACGCCGGCCAGCAGTTGCTGGCGCCCCGGCCGGCCAGCAGATTTGGACACGTTTTTGCTTGGCAGTGATTTGGACACGTCTTTGCTTGATGGCGCCGCGGCCGGCCAGCAATGATTTGGACACGTTTTTGCTTGCTGGCGCCCCGACCAGCCAGCAGGCAATGATTTGGGCACGTCTTTGCTTGCTGGCGCCCCGGCCGGCCAGCAGCCAGTGATAGTGATTTGGACACGTTTTTGTTTGCTGGCGCCCCGGCCGGCCAGCAGGCAGTGATTCGGACACGTTGTTGCTTCCTGGCGCCCCGGCCGGCCAGCAGATTTGGACACGTTTTTGCTTCCTGGCGCCCCGGCCGGCTTGCTGGCGCGCCGGCCGGCCAGCAGCAGTGATTTGGACACGTCTTTGCTTGCCGAGCAGGTAGTGGATTGGACACGTCTTTGCTTGTTGGCGCCTCGAGTGATTTGGACACGTCTTTGCTTGCTGGCGCCCCGGCCGGCCAGCAGGCAGTGATTTGGACACGTCTTTGCTTGCTGGCGCCCCGGCCGGCCAGCAGGCAGTGATTTGGACAGGTCTTTGCTTGCTGGCGCCCCGGCCGGCCAGCAGGCAGTGATTTGGACACGTCTTTGCTTGCTGGCGCCGCGGCCGGCCAGCAGATTTGGACACGTTTTTGCTTGGCAGTGATTTGGACACGTTTTTGCTTGCTGGCGCCCCGGCCGGCCAGCAGGCAATGATTTGGGCATGTCTTTGCTTGCTTGCTTGCTGGCGCCCCGGCCAACCAGCACAGTGATTTGGACACGTTTTTGTTTGCTGGCGCCCTGGCCGGCCAGCAGGCGTGATTCGGACACGTTTTTGCTTCCTGGCGCCCCGGCCGGCAGCAGATTTGGACACGTTTTTGCTTGCTGGCGCCCCGGCCGGCCAGCAGGCAATGATTTGGGCATGTCTTTGCTTGCTGGCGCCCCGGCCGGCCAGCAGGCAGTGATTTGGACACGTTTTTGTTTGCTGGCGCCCCGGCCGGCCAGCAGGCGTGATTCGGACACGTTTTTGCTTCCTGGCGCCCCGGCCGGCAGCAGATTTGACCCCGGCCGGCCAGCAGGCAGTGATTTGGACAGGTCTTTGCTTGCTGGCGGCCCGGCCAGCAGGCAGTGATTTGGACACGT